CCGTTCTGTAGAGGGTTCCTGTAGGCCTGAGAAAAGATCATTGTGTCTACTGCAGGGTGTCATTGTGTCTACTTCAGGGTATGTACAACCTCCTGGAAGATGCCACTGAAGACTGTAGGCCTTAGGCTGGAGGCGTGTCTATGTGGGCTGGAGGCGTGTCTATGTGGGCTGGAGGCGTGTCTATGTGGGCTGGAGGCGTGTCTATGTGGGCTGGAGGCGTGGCCCTGTGGGCTGAAGGGGTGGCTCTCTGGATAAGAGCATTTGCTCTTCTTGTGGAGGACCTGCATTCAGTTCCCTGCACCCACATAGTCACTCACATCTATCTGTAACTCCAGTTCCAGGGGTCTGACCCCCTTTCCTGACCTCCACAGCACCAGGCACACACATGGTACACATGTATGTGGAGACAAACACACATACAATTAAAATGAATAATTTTTTTTTTTAAATGGCTGTAGGTCCTTTGTGGTTCTCAGGCTCCCTGGATCTCACCTTTCTTCCTAGCTCCCTGTTTTCCAGAAGGTCCATCTCCCAGAGTAAGGGCTTTAGTACTGGATAAGGGGTGGGATGCAGAGGAGGATCTTGGGTACTGGGTAAGAGCTAGTGGCCACATGGGTGCTTGCTACTTTCTCTTTGCTTATGGCATTTATTTCTCAGTTTATCTAAGGCTCTCCATCCCTGCCCCCCTCAGACCCTGTTATGGGACAATAAATAGATGAAAGGGCATAAAGGGTGGTTTTTTGTTGTTTTTTTTTCCCAAAAAGAGGTGAACCGAAGGGGTCCTTTGGGTGTCTGTAGTGTGGGTTGCTGTAGCCCTGGCCCAGGGCCCTTATCACACCAGGAAGAAGAGAAAAGTGGTTATTTACAGCAGTATCCAGGTCTTCTCACCACCTGCCAGCGCTCCAGGCCACTCCGCCTGGAGAAGGTTAAAAAGCCACAGCGTTGTCCTCCTGTTGCAAAAGTCCCCTCTCTGCCCTTCTAAAGGCTGTAGATGAGGATCAAGAAAGCTTCACACACACCTTTGCCTCCAGAACAGTGTTTCATCTTTCCCGGGGTGCAGGGAACTGAATGGTGGAGGCAGAAGGTCAATGCGAACCGAAACGACAAAGTATTTTGGGTGGAATTGGGTCTATTCCTGGCCAATCTAAAGAGATTCTCTAAAGAAAAAGATATAAAAAAAAATGACATGTGAAAACCCCGGCAGCTGGGATCCCCGTGGAACCTCTGATATCGGCATGTGGCTGGTCCAGCAATTTTTACACCCCCCCCCACCCCCGTGGGCCTACTTCCTCAGTTGCTGGGCAGATGTGTACTTGTGCTCTTAGAGTCCTGTCCCAGCATTCTCTGTGACCTTTGATCTCCCTGACCTCACACCTGTGTGCTTGAGAATCTCAGGACCTCCCCACGTGGTGTTTTGTGGCAAACGTCCTTGATGATCTTCAGAGTTGGTCTCTGTTCCAGCTCTTTGGGACTGCTGTCATAGAAATAGGCTGGGGCCTTATTACTCCTCGTGACTCTGCAGGGTGGGATCAGGGGCCTGTTAGGTTGGGTCATGGGAATGCTCTTCTATGGTGCCGAGTCAGAAAGAGCTCTGGGCTTCCTTACCTCTTCTGATAAGGACACTGTTCTAAAGCCTCACGTCTTGATCCATGACCTTGGAGTGTAGCTGAAGTTTTCCTGTGTCCCGGCCTGCCAGCATTTGGGACAAATCTCTCCCACTAGCGTCCCCCAAGTAAACACACAGTGACTTAATTACTTATAAACTGTATGGCCGTGGCAGGCTTCTTGCTATCTGTTTTTACATCTTAAATTAACCCATTTTCTATTAATCTATACCTTGCCACGTGGCTTGTGGCTTACTGGTATCTTCCATCATGCTTCTCCTCGTGGCAGCGGTAGGCGGCGTCTCCTCCTGACTCCACCTTCCTGTTCCCCCCATTGTCCTCTCTGCTAGTCCCGCCTATACTTCCTGCTACTGGCTACTGGGCAGTCAGTGTTTTATTTATCAATCAATCATAGCAATACATTCACAGCATAGAGAACATCCCACAGCATTGGAGATTAAAGTTTCCGCTTATGAACCAGGAGGGATGTAAGCCTTCCACCCATAACACTCACAACCCCTGAGTAGTAGCATATGGTCAGCAGCCAGTTGTGGGTACCAGTGTCATGCATCTGGAATTGACTAGCAAGCACACCGCCCGCGTGGAACAGGGGCAGTCATGTGGGCTGTACAAGTCAGGCGTCAAGCAGTTCTGGCAGTACAGTGATGATGACATGTCATAGGAAAGGCACGGATCATGTATGTTCCCTTTAGAAGGGCTGAGCTGTAGAAAAGAATTAGGAAAATAAGTCAGGTGTAACACCTGAAAGCCCCTCCACGTTTCTTCATTTTAGGTATCCATTTCTCTACCCTGCTTTGTATGTCTCCACATGCTTGCATAATACATAGCGCGCGCGTGCGCGCGCGCGCGCGCGTGTGTGTGTGTGTGCGCGCGCAGGCTTGTGTACACTGGTGAGTGTATGTTTGCAAGTTGGATCATGATGGCTTGTTAGATTCTAAATTTCACACTTAAGACTAACTACTTAATTAAAACCACGTTCCCAGCTATTTACAGATAATTGCAAAATATACTAAGACACGAAATTCAACTCTGATAAAATGAAGCCTACAGGTTTTTTTGTTTTCTTTTGGGCCCAGTGTGGGATATGTGACATTCTTTCATTTTAAAGTACGGGTACTTAATTTTGACTCAATTTGAGAGACATTTGCTAAGCATTCTGTCCATAGACATAGTTAAAGTATGGATGATACTGGTGCTAGATCTCAGGGCAGCTGACTTGAGTGAACCCTTCAGTGGTCTGGCTGCAGGCATGTGGACATAGTCAGCCCTCAACATGTAGGATTCCTTGTCTGCTAATCAGTCAGCTGCAGGTAGGGGGAAAAGGAGCCTGTACCAAACATGCTCAAATATATTGTTCTTGTGATTATTCCCTAAGTGATACAGAATGACAGCTGCTGACATAGCATTTGTTTTGTGCTTGTATCACAAATAATCTAGAGAAGATTTAGTTTACAGAAGGATATGTGTGGCTTATGTGCACACACTCCACTATTTTATGGAGGAGGTTTATGCATCTTCACGGTTTGTTGTCTGCTGGGATCCTGGCAGCAATCCCCAGTGGACATCAAGGAAGACTGTGCCTTCATTGCCCGTGGCTTTCCCTGTGGTTTTAAATGTATACGTGGATTCGGTGGAATAGTGGATGAAACCACTGGTGGCCTTGAGGGCAGGGCCTCTGTGTGTCTGGCTCATACTATCGTTGCTGTGCCCAGCCCTGGACTTGACGTATCATTGCATGATGGCTGGCACTGAACACACCCCTATCACATACTCATGGTCTTTGTATCTCTTTCAGGAGGGGTTGAGTCTAGGCCTTTGGTTCGGGGTGTTGGTGGCCGAAGTATCAGCATGAAGGCACCTCCTGCTTCCCGATCCAGGCACGGGCCCTTCAAGACCATGCCCCTGAGATGGTCCTTTGGACACAGGGAGAAACGGCCTGGGGCGTCTGTTGAGTTGGTGGAATACCTCGAGTCCAGACGAAGACCCCGGTCCACCAGCCAGTCCATTGTGCCGCTGTTGACACGCGCTGCTGGTGGGGATGAGAAGTCAGCTTCGCCTAGGTCGGACGGCACCCTTCCCACTACAAGTGACGACAGTGGTCGAGCCATCGGACAAGGAGCAGCCAGAGTGCCCCTCTCCTCATGCCACCCCAACCACCATCCAGCCCTGGGCTCCTTAGATGACGGTCTGAACACAACCAGGACACGAGCAGGAAATGCAAGTCAGGATATCAAGCTCCCCAAAAAGTTCGACCTGCCCCTCACTGTGATGCCCTCAGTGGGGGATGAAAAACCAGCCCGCCCCGAGGGCCAGAAGATGACAACCTGGAAGGGAAGCGGTCAGGTGGGAAGCCAGAGTAGCCCACCTTCCCCCTCCACTGGGTTGTTCAGAAACTTTAAGGACAGTGGCCCAGGTACTTTACCCAAGATGAAGGCTAGGACTGCGGTGGAGGAAAGGGCCCCTGATAAAGACAGGGGACTGGGGACGTTCACTCTTCTGAAGTCTGTGTTTTGGAAGAAAGAGCACAAGAGGCCCCTCAGGGCTGAGAGCTCCCCAGCAGCACCCCCAGTTTCCCTGGTGAGTGACAGGCTGAGCCCTGCCAGGAACGAGCAGGCTCGAGGGTCATCCCCTGCCCTCAGGATTCAAGAGAGCCCAGCCAGGGGCCAGGGCAACCACGTGGAGAGGGACATCCGGTCTGCGCCTAGCTCCCTTCACCTCCCTCGCAAAGCCAGCAGGCCCCCAAGGACCAGTACAGCTGGCACCTCGCAAAGGACCATTCCTGGGGAACAGAATTCTTATGGCACCCTGCAGAGGGTGAAATACCACACTCTTTCCTTAGGTCGGAAGAAATCCTTGCCCGAGTCCAGCTTCTGACAGAACGTTTCAGTATTGTGTGAAGCTGGCATTCCCGGGCTGTGCCCTGAGACTCTGTAGGAAACCTGTGTCCAGAGTGGATTTTCTAGAATCCAGTTGACTTGTGATCTTTAAAAGAAACAAACAAACAAAAAAGTTTGGTCTCTTTAACTGAATTTCCAGCCCCTTGTGTCCCAATAACCCTGTGTCAAAATGGTTGGGTTCCCATTGTTGGGTTTTGATACAGCCTGGCCACTAGATGGTGCTGCTGAGCCCAAATTATTACTACAAGGCTAATTGGTATTTGGTGTATGTAAGCCCGGGGCTTGCATAGCTCTACTAAAAAGACTCTGTGGTATCGTGTTAAATGTGCTCACCAGCTTGCTTGTTCCTAACTTATGTGTCTCTCTCCCT